ATTATTATTATTATTATTATTATTATTATTATTATTATATTTCTTTCTTTCTTTCTTTCTTTCTTTCTTTCTTTCTTTCCCCCGAAAGAGATAATCTTTGAATTTCACGGGATTTTTCTTGTGACCGTACGCAAGGAAAACGCTGAAAACTATATTAAAGCCCCACAGCAGGTTGTTATCCTAGGAAAATAACTGTTAATTACTCAAATCAGATGGGAAGTATAGGATAAAGTATCAAGTTAGTCACATTTCAGTCGCAGTCCTCTACTGTATCAACAGGGATCTTGTTAAATATTAGTATTGGGATCATGTTAAATATATACCATGCCTTGGAAAGACCATACTTAGAATAAAGAGGCCAGAATTATCTGAAATGGTGTACGTTCTCCTGCTTGAGCAATTCAATTCAATTCAATTCTGTATGATTTGATTGCTTATTGTACCCTTTGACTATTATTAAGTGTTATGATTCTTGACGAATGTATCTTTTCTTTTAATGTACATATGCACCAAGACAAATTCCTTGTGTCCAATCACACTTGGCCAATAAAGAATTCTATTCTATTCTGTCATCTCGAGGTGAGCTGGATGGCAAACAAATTTAATAAATAAATAAAGATTCCAGTTCTGATCCCCATGATATAAAAAAGACGTTGAGATTCTAGGAAGAGTGTAGAGAACAGCAACAAAGAACAATAGAGAAGAGCAACAAAGATGATTAGACGATTACAATATTTGCCTGAATGAAGGCATAGTTTCCATCATGTCTCTTATATATCTGACCCCATGTTAGTATTTTATAAAATGTGAGAAATCAATTATTTCTCTGATTCAGTACATATCTTCATCCTCTTTTAAGTTTGGGAAATTAATGCAAATGAGTTATTTTCATAAAAGAAAGGCTAAAGAACCTTCAAGTCGAATTCAAATCCTACTGATGATGCGGACAATAATAAAATATTACAGCCACTTGCTGCTGGTTTCTCACACAACATTTTACAACTTCCCAGTCTACAACCCAGTAGTTGCTACAGGTGAAACTTGAAAAATTAAAATATTGTGCAAAAGTTCATTTATTTCAGTAATGCACCTTAAAAGGTGAAACTAATATATAAGATAGACTCATTACATGCAAAGCAAGATAGTTCAAGCCGTGATTTGTCATAATTGATGGCTTACAGCTCATGAAAACCCCAAATCCATAATCTCAGAAAATTAGAATATTACATGTAATCAATAAAACAAGGATTGTACATAGAACAATATCAGACTTCTGAAAAGTATAAGCATGCATATGTACTCAGTACTTGGTTTGGGCCCCTTTTGCAGCAATTACTGCCTCAATGCGGCGTGGCATGGAAGTATCAGCTTGTGGCACTGCTGAGGTATTATGGAAGTCCAGGATGCTTCAATAGCGGCCTTCAGCTCTTTTGCATTATTCGGTCTCATGTCTCTCATCTTTCTCTTGGCAATGCTCCACAGATTCTCTATGAGGTTCAAGTCCGGCAAGTTTGCTGGCCAATCAAGCACAGTAATCCCACAGTCATTGAACCAGGTTTTGGTGCTTTTGGCAATGTGGACAGGTGCCAAGTCCTGCTGGAAAATGAAGTCAGCATCCCCATAAAGCTCGTCTGCGGAAGGAAGCATGAAGTGCTCCAAAATCTCCTGGTAGACGGCTGCATTGACTTAATGGACTTAATGAAGCACAGTGGACCAACACCAGCAGATGACATGGCTCCCCAAATCAACACAGATTGTGGAAACTTCACACTGGACTTCAAGCATCTTGTAGTATGTGCCTCTCCATTCTTCCTCCAGACTCTGGGTCCTTGGTTTCCAAATGAGATGCAAAAGTTGCTCTCATCAGAAAAGAGGACTTTGGACCACTGAGCAACAGACCAGTTCTGTTTTTCTTTAGCCCAGGTAAGACGCTTCTGATGTTGTTTGTTGTTCAGGAGCGGCTTGACAAGAGGAATATGACATTTAAAGCCCATGTCCAGGATCCGTCTATGTGTGGGTGGCTCTTAATGCACTGACTCCAGCCTCTGTCTACTCTTTGTGAAAGTCCCCAACACTTTTGAATGGCCTTTTCCTGACAATCCTCTCCAGGCTGCGGTCATTCCTGCTGCTTGTGCACCTTTTTCTTCCACACTTTTCCCTTCCACATAACTTTCCATTAATGTGCTTTGATACAGCACTTTGGGAACATCCAACTTCTTTTGCAACTACCTTTTGAGGCTTTCCCTCCTTATGGAGGGTGTCAATGATGGTTTTCTGCACTACTGTCAAGTCAGCAGTCTTTACCATGATTGTGATTCCTACTGAACCAGACTGAGAGACCATTTAAAGGCTCAGGAACCTTTTGCAAGTGTTATGGCTTAATTAGCTGATTAGAGTGGGACACTTTGAGCCAAGAATATTGAACCTTTTCAAAATATTCTAATTTTCTGAGATTGTGGATTTGGGGTTTTCATAATCATCTCAATTATGACAAATCACAGCTTGAACTATCTTGCTTTGCATGTAATGAGTCTATCTCATATATTAGTTTCACCTTTTAAGTTGCATTACTGAAATAAATGAACTTTTGCATGATATTCTAATTTTTCAAGTTTCACCTGTATCTCAAGACTAAGGCAGTATTTGCTCTAAGGTACAAAAATAGTCCTCGCTTACCAAATATCCCATTTAGTAACTGATGTTAACAATGGTATAAAAACAGCTTGTGACCAATCCTCACATTTATGACCACTGCAGCATTCCAAGTTATGTGATCATCATTTATCTGCTTCACAAGTGGCTTCCCACAAACGGGTTAATGGAGAATACAGTAGGAAAATCTGTAGTTGCAGTCTCACTTAATGATCATAGGTGATTTCCTTAACAACTAAATACAAATTGAGGTTGTAAGCCCATTGTGTTCCACCTGAGGTCACATAATAAAAAGAGTTGGAAGGGACCTTGGAGGTCTAGTCTAACCCCTTGCTCAAGCAGGACATCCAATACAATTTCAGATGAATGACTGTCCAACCTCTCTCACTGTGAGGTAATTTTGCCTAGGTTGGATTGCTCTTTAAGGTGTGCTGAAGAGGTGCCATATGGGGCTGGGGAGATTGTGCAGAGGGACACAACGGTACAGGGAGGTGCAGCAAGTGTTGTGGAAACTGTACAGGAGTTTATAAGTGTTAGGTAGGGAAATATTTCTGAAACAATGACCCCATGCGACAAAGGTTGTCTAGTTATTTTAATAAAGGCAATGGGTCAGTATCCTCCAAGACAGCACATGCAGGCAGCAGGCTTGCAAAGAGGTGCCGGAGGGGGAATATGTGGCAACTCAAGAGAATGGTGATGAGATGCTCTGGGAGAAGCCATCACTATCCTCCTCTAGGTCAGAAAATTTGGCATAGTCTGAGGTGCTGAGCTAAAAGATAACCTTTTAGCTCAGCACCTCAGACTATGCCAAAGTTTCTGATTATGTGTTTTTAAGTCCAATTTGTATTACTCGGTCATCGGCTACACTATACTCAACAATACTTGCAATACATTTTCTGGCTATGAAAGGCTTTGTGTTTTGTGTCCAGGTCCTCCTTTTGGAAAGTAGCCACTTCCGGTCTATCCTAGTTCAATGATGTCTAAGAAATCAAGATTCAACATTCACTTGTTGAGTTTTCCCATGTTCATGCTTCCTAGGTTCCTTCTTCCCACTGAACTTGCAGCTTCGGTTTTTCTTTTCATTTTTGGTAAAACCAGCAACTGGATGTGCCAAAAGAGCCTGCTCATGCATCCGGTGGGCAGCCTGCCCCAACTCAGAAGCTGAGCAATGTCTGACCTTGGACAATATTTGGCCCAGGCCCCTACAGCCTGTGGGTCAAGCGATCAAGTAGCAAAAGGGAAAGTCAGCCCCTTTCTGCACGATTGCCCCGCAAGGCGAGTCTTCATGAACAACGTGGCCCAACACCACATTTAGCCACCTATTCATGCGTTTGCACAAGAAGTGGCTTCTGCATAAAGCCAACTCTGCAAATCCGTAGCATGCACCCGGCCGCGCTTGGCTCCCTCGGCAATGAACGGCGGATCCCAAATTAATCCTAGCCGCATTTTTGAAATTTTACTCCCGGAGGAACAGAAGAGGCTGCTTTATTCTTCTGCATCCCAGTCTTTCTCCCAGCCACGAGACCAAGGCCTCTTCTTGCCTCCGCTCGCTCCACCCCGCCTGGGGGATAATCGGATTGGAGGAGCGGGAGGAAGGGGGGGAAGACGGGCGGAAAACCGCGGAGTGCCCGACCATCTTAAGGCGGGGGGGGGGGGGGGGGGGGGGGTCCTTGGGGGGGGGGCGAGGGGGGGGGGGGGGGGGGGGGGGGCGGGCGAGCGCTTGCGGGATGCGCAAGAGCAGGAGGCGGGGTTGGGCAGCCGAGGAAGCCACTTCGCTGGAACGCCGGCTGATCCAGGTGAGGCGAGCGAATCGAGATCCCAGCGAAAGGGGAGCAGCGACCGGCTGGATCGCCGCATTCGGGGAAGGGAGAGCCCTTCAATGCGGGCGACCAAATCGCGCGGGGTGTTGATTTACCTCGGCTCCTGCCGCCGGCCGATCCCCTTTGCAGTGCTCCTTTTTTCGTGACGGGATCTTCCCGCATCTCACCCAGCAGAGGGAGCCTGTTCTGGCTCTGCAGCCCCGGCTTTGAGAGTGCGAGCCCAGGAGGGAAGCGGTGCCGGCGGGAAAGCCGTTTTGCTTCTTCTCTAAAAGCCTGCGGGGCTCGCCTCCTTCTTCTTTTGCAATGGGACTTGGCTTTTGGAATAAAGCTTGATTTATCCTCGCTGGCTTGCTTCGCTTTCCTAACTTCGTGGGAAAGGAGTGCTTCGAATCGCGGTGCCCTTTTTTTTTTTTTACATCGCGATTACAGCAACACGCCCTGCGGCTGGGCAGGTCAATATTCATTTGGCATTTTTTAACGTGAGCTTTTATTGGTTAAAAATAGTATTGTGATTCTCCCCCCTCCCAATTTTAGGGCCATGCACTTATTGTTATGAGATTTCAACTCACTTCGTCAGATTGTGCGAATATCTGTATGTAGGTAACATATTTGCATGTATATAACTGTAATCAGAGAGAATCATATTGAAGTCAGAGGGAGGTGCTGAAAGACGATTTAATTTAGATCTATAATACAGAAATCCTTACAATAATAGGCAACTGGTTTATCAGCAAACCAGAAGTTAAATCCAAAGTAACCAGCTATTTTCCTTGTGTTAATTTGGACAAGTGTTGAAAATGCAAAGCAAGGGAGGGAAGTAGGGAGTAATAGGAAGCTTGTTTTTACATCAATGATAACGTTTTGTTCCAGGTCACAATATATATGAGTGCAACTTAAACATTGTTGAGTGCCATTGTATTGAAAGATTATTAAATTATTATATGTTAGATGCTATATTATTATAATATGCCAGAAATTAGTGCTTATGGTGTTGCAAGTGCAAAATGGGTGCTTGCGGTAAAAGTGATGCTTCCTAAATCAATCAAATCCAGTGATAATCTCCCTGAAACTAAGATTAAGAGTTTGTGAGGCCTGAATGCAATTTCTCTGCATCTTCTTTTTCTTGATCTCAGTGGGCAACCAAAGCTGCAACTGGTAATTTTGCTTGCATATGATTAAAACCTTTAAATAGAAACCAGTGATTCCTCCTAGTTGGGACACTTTGGATGGCCAGGGGAATGAACTTTTGCCCTGCTCTAATGCAACAGAATTTATTTTTATGAGAGGGAGTTGACAAAACGATTAAATCTCTCTCTCTGTGTGTGTGGGGTGTTCTCTGTCAAGTAGGCCAACCAAAGCCTATCTGGAGCCCCTAAGGGTCTGGATCCCTAACAATCTGGATAAAAAGGCAGCAGGGAGTTAGTTTCCTGCTTCGTTCTGTCGCCATCCAACGACCCTCCAGATTTCCTCAGCCCGGCTTGGCAGCGAGGAGGCTGAAGGTGAAGCTCGATTTCTGAAGCAGCGTGTTTCGCACCCACTTGAAGGCGCGTGGCCTTCACAAAGGCCTTCAAAGCCCCTGAGATTGAGAAGGGGAAAAACGGTGGGAGGCAAAAGGGGGGAGGGGGAAGGAAAGAAAGAAAGGGTGCCAATGGCGGGAAAAATCCACCCGCCGCGAGGGTCTCGGGGGTGGCCTGTTCGTGGGAGGTTAGGCGGGACCCCCTCCTGGCGTGAGACTCCGGCAACGCCGCCTCGGTTGCCGCGGCAACGGGGAAGACATGCGGCGCCCGCCAGGCCGGCGAAGACACCCCCGGCAGGTGGCGGTGCGGGACCCCCGTTTCTTTCTGTCCCAACAGGCGGACCCGCCGGCTCGGATGGCGGCGGCGGCGGCCTCTCCGCCTCCCGGGGCGGCTCTACCTCCTTTTCAATTCCGTCCGCGACACGAAGGTCCGGATTGGCGTCGCCTGAGCGCCGTGGAAGTGGACCGGGTGGCGGCCGAAGTGAACGTGGCGGTGCTGCAGGAGCACCTGGAGCACGTCACCTTCTGCAACGCCGGCCGCGAGCGCTGCCCTCACTGCCAGCGCCCCGCCGACCCGCTGCTGCTCAAGCTCCTGCGACTGGCCCAGCTCTGCCTAGAGTACCTGCTCCACTCCCAGGATTACCTTAGCGCCCAGCTCCGCGCCGGGCAGGAGCTGCTCCGCGCCGCCGATGCTCACCGCGATCTGCTGGCCAAGGACGTGGCCCGCGGGGCCCAGCAGGTCCGGCTGCTCAAGGAGGAGTGCAAGCGCCGCAAGAAGATCATCGCCACCCAGCAGATGATGCTCCAGGCTGGGGCCACCTGTCACCAGGTGGGCTGGAGAGAAAGCCTGTCCCCTAATCGCGATGGATAATGATGGATTTGGGGAGGTGGGATATTAATACAGGTAGTCTTCAAACTTTCAACTGTACATTTAGTGACAGTTGGAAGTTTCAGTGGAGCTGAAAAAAGTGACGACCTATATTTGACTTATATTTAATGATCATTGCTTATGACTTACATTTTATGACTATTGCCACATCCCCATAGTCACCTGATTGAAATTCAGATGCTTGGCAACTGCTTCACATTTATGACGGTTGCAGTGTCCTGGGGTCATGTGATCAGCTTTTACGACCTTCTGACAAGTAAAGTCAATGAGGAATCCTGATTCGCTTTCCACGTTTCTAACTGAACAAATGCAATGATTCACTTCACAACCGTGGCAAGGAAATTTTGTAAAATGGGGCAAAAGTCACCTGACAAATGTTAACATAAATTAACATTTAAATTCATATGGCAATGTAAATTGGGGGCTCCATTATGGTCGTAACTCGAGGACTACTTGTAAAGCAGAATATTTGTAGCCTGGGGTTGACCTGAAAGGTCCTTGGTGCTCTTCGAGCTTGGTTGTTTCCTTGCAGGCCTTTCATTACTCAAAACAAGGTTAACGTCAGTTCAGTGATGTTACCTAGTTTGGGTAATGAAAAGGTCTGCAGGGGAAAAAAAAAAACCAAGCACCAAGAACCCCTGAGGTGGGATATGGCTGAATTTGGCGGAGATGGGAAGCTAAGCAGGCCCAGCTTGGGTTACTTCTTGGAGGCAGCCCTGGGAGGTTGAAAAAAAAAATGCCCCCTGGCAGCCAGCTTGTCAAGACAACTGGCACATAGAAGTTGATGTGACTCGAGGCCATTTGCTTTTGTTGTGTCCCTATGAATGCAGGATTACTGCATCTTTGTCTGCTGCCCCCCACTTTTTATTTTTTGGAGTAAGCTTGGTTGTGAGCTTGGTGATTTGAACTCCCTATGGATGGTATCAAATAAGATACTGTTCTGAATATTGGCCTATGAGGAAGCCCTTCCCCCCCACAAGTTAGTTAGTCTGATACCTAGGAATAACAAATGCTGTAAATAAAGCAAAACAATAAACTATTGGGGATTATTTTTGAAGGTAGAGAAAAAGTTGTTAAGTGAGTTTTGCTTCATTTGATGACCTTGTCACAGTGGTTAAGTGGATCATCGCCCTGTATACATTCAATAATGTGATTCTCCTAAATTTATTAAATTATGTTCGTGGGCTAATCCTTTCTGTCATTTCCTTTCTGCTCGAAATTTTAAAGAGTTGCACAGAATTGTTGACTTTTGTTTACCTTGTCCACGGGCAGAATTTCAGACATTTCTGAATTGTTCAATAATGCCTCTAACTGTATAGTCTTTATACATTGCAGCAGAATTGAAACCTAGAGTTTAGTACTTAGTTTTGTCTGCCATAACCTAATTCAGTGTAATACAGTGTGAATTATGCTAACTTGAATCTACATGATAATGATAATATACAGATACTCCTCAACTTACAACATTCGTTCGAACTTACAATGCCACTGAAAGAAGTGGCATGACTGTTTTTCATACTTATAACCATTGCAACATCCTCATGCTCACGTGATAACACCAATGGAGCATGAATTGTTTAGTCATTATTCAGTTTTCTTCCATCCAAGGATTCTTTCAAGATAAAGCCACATCACCTGAGTTGGTCACCGGTAGTGATTTAGAAGAATTTAAGATTTTTTATATGCATTGTACTTTTAAAAGGATATTTGTAATATGCTTATAATGTTTGTAATATTTATACATTTTAATCAGAAGTCTTTTTCAGTTCTTTTGTTTTGGAATTGAATTCCCTGTATCATATTACTACCATTAAATTGCTCAAGTGGCAATTGTTTTCAAAATAAGACTGTCATTAAAAATAATGACAAACATCGAATCATACAGAGATAAAAATAAACATACAGAGATAAATATCCTTAGTTTCACAGTTGTTGTTTAAACATACTTTTATTTTACAGTGTCAGTTTTGTGACAAAGCCTTTATGAACGCTTCCTTCCTGCACAGTCATTTGCAGCGTCGCCATTCAGAAGAACCAGTCACTGGTGAGTGTTTAATAAATAAATAGATTTCCAAACTGACATCTAATCCATATTTTTTCTTATTTGAAAAAAGCAAGCTAGTGCAGTAGGTGCTATTTAGAGAACAAGGAGGAGACTTCATTTAGAGAGCCATTTCATTATTAGGAAATCCAGCATATTTGTTACTTCTTGCCAATATGGAAGAACCAACTAGGGCCCTTATTAAGCTAAAGTGAATTGTACATATGCAGTTTGTACAGTTTGTATATATAAAACATTATATAACTTTAGTGTTTTTTAAATTTAGGTTTTATTTTTTAATGACTTTTAATTTTTGTTTATGATCAGAGGAAAGAATCTACAGCTAATCCTTGACTTACAACCGTAATTGAGTCTGGCACTTAAGGGCATAAGTCATAATGGTTGTAAGCAGGTCATCATGTGACTGACCCAATTTCATTAAGCAAAGTTTATGGTCCTTAAAAAAATCTATTGTTTGCGATAGGCTTTTGTTTTCTGGATAATTGGACATAATTTTCTTTCCTGAAGTGTAACAAGTAATAACTTTTTTCTGTGACATAACAGGATATAATTTTCTGGAACATAATTGGACATAGTTTAAAAATATTTGCATAAAGCTAAGTAAATCAAAGACATTCTATCTGTATTCTACTTTTTCAACAAATTGTTTTCTTCCAATTACTGCAGCTTCTGACTGGTTCAATTGCAGTGAATTGGTGTTAAGGTGATAGCTCAAAAATAGATGATCATACGTGATATTTAGGAGCTTAATCGCCTTCTCAGATACAGTTGCTTTTCTTGCAAGTTCTTAAATTTAATAAACCAGTAGTATGGATAAAAAGAAATTTAAGTTAAGTTTTAAGTTGCAAAAAAGTCTTGGCTGCCATGTATTGGTCCTATGGATTTATGCAGCCTACATCTGCAATCTAACATTTTTAAAAGAGTGAAAGTTGATGTGAAGAGCATCACTTCACAATATTTATTACACTTATTTGCTTTTCTCTGTAGGGTTGAAATTTTGGCAGAAGGAGGGATCTGAATGGTTCAAAATGTTTGCATTAAAGACTGATTAAGGATATCACAGATTATTTTCAGACTATGATGTCATCAGGGCACTCAGAACATAGTCATTATTCATTTATTTTGTGCATGTATATGTATAAGAAAGAGGAAAATACTTCATGAAGTAAAACAGAAGAGTAAGGCTGTCTTGGTCCTGGGTTCAGTTTGACAGGATGTCTGTCATAAAAATTATTCAACATTGTGACTGAAGAGAAATTGGTCGAAATAGTTGAAGAGGAATATGCCAAATTTTATTTGTTTTATTTGTTCACTCATGGTGATTATGCTTTAAGATTGGATAATACTTCTATTTATTGTTATTTGAAATGGAATTCAACTGTGCTGAGGAAGGAGCTCTTCCTGTTCCTTTCCTCCCTTTAATTATTCCAAAAAGAATAGGAAACCTGGGCCTTAGATGTTCCTGAACAACAACTATTGGCAGTCCCAGACAGCATGAACTAACGATTACAAAAGTATTATGTAGCTTTTATAGAATGTTTACTGTTGAAGTAGCTTGGGGGAGTCCCTGTTACATCTTTTAGATGGTAATGTACTGAGGAAGTAGTTGGTATTATAATCCACAGGAAGAAATAATACTTTAAATGTCTGTGTAAGTAGAACTGCATTTCTCTGAAGTATATTAACAGACACTACCACCGTTATACTTTGAAGCAGATCAGAAGAAAAAAGCACAGACTTATAAACTGCAGGAGGAAATCAACCAACTGAAGGAGCAATTACAACTTACCAGGTCTCAATTAGAAGCTGAGCAACGTGACCATATAGTCAAACTGTCTAAGGTAGGGCATATTCTGTAAGTTTTAAGATGCCATCCAATTATACATTACTAATTAAGTTTATAAGTTTAAATCAATATCAACATTCAAAGAAGAAAGTGACTAGCCTTGTTTGGTAATTTTGCACTTTACAGAGTGAAATGTAAATGGAAAAAGATGGTTATTATTTTAGACTTTGTGGTTGCATATAAAATCTGCACTTCTTTTTTATGTTCTTTGGGAAATAACACAGAATTGTCCATCCTGCCCATATATTTTATCAAAAACTTGTTCTAGCAATGAGCCAGGTTAAAAGAATATACAGTATACATTTTCACACATCACCATTTCCATTATTTCTCTCTAGAAACCTTTTTCACTGATCAGCAATCCTCTAGTTAGATTGGAATATTTTAAAATCCACAAATCACATTAATTTATGATAAGGTTTCATTGGTTTGGAATAAGCATCATGTACAAAAGGCAGAAATTGTAGAAAAGAACTTTCTGGAATTCTTCAAATAGCTTTTTCATTCAATTTCAGGAATATGAAGAACGCCGATCCAAAGAAGAGGAGATTCGGCACTTATTTCACAAATGGAAAGAGGAAGAAAAGGAAAAATTGGCCCGTGAACTTGAGAAGGTGAAAGACATGTTTATGAAGGAATTTAAAGAATTAACTGCAAAAAATTCCGAATTAGAAAATGTAAGTAGCTGAGAAATTGGATGGTGTACTCTATAGAGTAATGTTGCAGTTTTATTATGATTTATATTTTAAATATTGGAAAAGGCATAGAACTTTATAAAAGCCTGAGCTTACTGGTTGTCCTTCAGCTACAAATTCCTTCCTTTCCCACTGTACCCCTATTCCCACGGTCTTCAAGCCAAGGATTATTTTCACCTGCGGCTGCTAAGGCTGTTCATTAGAACCCCTTCAGTTGGGAAGGCTCTCACTTCTCTTTCCCCTTTTGCCCCACATATTCATTACTTTTCCCATATATTTACTGTTGTGGATTGAGCACATATTCCTTTGAACTTAAAAACAAATAATTGTACTTTGTATTTATGGGGTGGTATATTATTTAAGTAATTACAGTTCAAGAAAATGGCTAGATTTGGGGGGTTGATGGAGATTGCAAAAAATATTTTGCCTTTTAGAAGTATTTTCTAGCAGAATATACCAGCTTATTTGTTTTTCTAAAGAAAACTTTGAATTTACTTTGATTGCTGCTGTTGTATCCCTATTAGCATTTGTTAGAGATACAAAAGTCCAACCAACATCTGAAATCCAATTTAGGCACTTTAAAAGATACCGTTGAATTAACAGATGAGAAACATCGGAATGCTATGGATCATCAGAATATAATGCAGCTTCTTGAAAAACAGGTAATTTAGTGCAAATGTCAGGCACTGTGACTTCAGATTCCAGGCCCCAGGTATCTGGTATAAATAGGGAGACAAAATTTATGTGCATTTATTGTTCCCTCACTTCCCTGTAAGTTGAACACATTTCCAAACCGTTCCCAGTAAAGCCAAGAATGAGCACATTGGTTGGGGATGATTGAGATTACAATTCATTTGGGGATTTAGGCGAGTGAAGGCAGAATTAGATCTCTTGGGAATAGTCAGATTATGTTAATGTATTTTCTTCCAGATTCAGACTCAGTTGTGCTTTAAATTGGTGGTTTCAGCTTTCTTCTTTTGTTCTGGCATAATGTATACCTGGGCTGGACATAATGTTTGTCTTCTTTCATCTGAATGGAGATTCCCTCTCCTTAATGCCATAACCTCTGGGATACCCTCATCTCTCTCCCCCCCCCCCCCCAAAAAAAAACAACAACAAAAAACCCCAAGGTTTTTCACAAATGCTTGGAATCTGATTTTTGATAAGTAGGTATTCTAGAACCTCAGAGCCAGGTGCATTATTAATAAGATTCCCCGACATTAAAATTACAAGCTACATTAGTTCATAATGTCTATTGTCTCAAACTAAGCTGGTTCACTAGTTCCAGCATTAACATGAAATGATCTAGGCAACTTGGGCACAGAAAGCAAAAGTGATTTCACAGTGTGGTTCTAATCTCAGATAACCCGTTTAAATTTACTTTCTTAGTATAAGCATTGTGGACTTATTTAATAACTGCCACAACATGTTCACCCTCTAATGGTAATGTAATGTAACAAATAATGATATTATGCCAGTACTACCACCTTTTATAACCTCCATGGCTGCTTTTCTGATGCAGCAGTTCATATTGGGATTTTATTTATATTGTGAGGTAGACACAAGTTGATAAGCTGGATTTCAATAAAACAAAACTATACAATATAAAGTTAAGACATTGTTCAAAGTATCATATTTGTTTTATGTAGGAAGCCAAGTGGTCTTCTAAGGTACAAATTCTTCAAGAAGAACATGAAAATGAAAAGTACCAGGTAAATCTGAATGAAAGTTTCCTACATAGAAATAAATAATACAAAAAAGGAGGAAACTGTGATAAACCATTCAGAATGACTATTTAAAATCCACTTTAGATTTTGTAAAATTTCACTGATTCCCATGCTGAGTAACTGCATGAAGTATTTGCATTCAGTTCTTTTGTTGAAAAATAAGCTACAGTATGCAGAAGTATGCTGTGACAATTACTTTGAACTTCTTCAGTTACATTCAAATTTCTTTCTGTGAGCATTTGAACTGGTAAAGCCATGAATTCCAATGTAGAAATATCTTCCCTGACAGAAGTGTTTTATATATGACAAAAGAAGTACAGAAAGTATAGGGTAAAAGTGTGTGTGTGTGTGTTTTCATAGTTTATAAGATAGATATATTCATGGTTTATAAGATAATCATGAATAAGATAAACTTATGAATTTTGACAAAATTTATACTTACATATTTTTTTCTAGCTTCCAATGGAATAGGAAGAGTTGGGAAAGGAGTTTTACAAAATGGAGTAATGTGGAATGATGTCATTAAAAGAGTCACTTTGTATCAGGATACCTATCTTTTTCTCTGAAAGACTATCACTGAAAACTATACAGTCTGTTATGCCCATAATGCAGTTGTCTGGTTTTGGTTGATTGTGACAGCTACACAAATCTGTGTGTCATCACAAACCTGTTGAGTAGGATAGGCACCCTGATACTCTCTGGTTGCTATCGGGAGGGCCCTAAGTTGCCTAACCATACCAAAGAGCACAAAAGTATAATAAATTAATAATGGATTTTCTAACTCCTTAAGAAAATAAGCCTGTTTTGTAGATCCAAATTATTTCTCATAAAAGGGAAATGTGTTAATTAACTTTCCATAATGCATATATTTCTATTTTCCTAGAGCTGAAGGGGAAGTCTGGCCTTTAACCTTTATGACCAAAAAACATTCAGGGGAGGAAAATTAGACCAGTAATTATATTTTATATTATAAATATATAATAAGATATATAAATATATAATAAGATACATAATATAGCATAAGATAAACAAAATGTTTCCAGTTAAATAGACTTTTTCCATATTTGACCTGTTCAGCTCACATCTCAAATTGAGAAGCTTAAAGCATCAGTGGCTGAGGAACTGAATATGAGCAACATTTTCCATAAGAAGAGGCTAGAAGAACTAGGACAAAAGCTGCAAGAACAAAATGATCTTATTATTATCCAGAAACAACAGGTCTGTTCCATGTAATGGTGCCCTTCTAAAATGCCAGAGCATGAGCAAAGGGCCCTTTTTATATAAAAAAATATGGATGGAATTATAGTAACTACACAAGTAACTATTTTCTATCCTTATACACTTCTCATTTTGTGTTCTTACAATAGCAATAGCACTTAGACTTATATACCACTTCGCAGTGCTTTACAACCCTCTCTAAGCGGTTTACAGAGTCAGCATATTGCCCCCAACAATTTGGGTCCTCATTTTACTGACCTTGGAAGGATAGAAGGCTGAATCAACCTTGAGCCGGTCACGATCGAACTCCTGGAGTGAGCAGTGAGTTAACCTGCTATACTGCATTCTAACCACCGCACTACTATGGCTCTCATCAATCACAATCAGTGATTCTTGTTCTTTTAGTACTTAAGGCAGCTGCAAGTTAGCAGTAGAGCATGGCTGCTGAAAGGTGAATACAGGTTTAGGCTGCATCTGGGCATTGCTTTTCAAAGAATTAAACAATGGAAGGAAACGTGCATAAAAGAGAAATACAAACTTAGGGCTTAGGGAGCTGGACTCAGAAGCCAGAATTTCGATGGACCACTATTAGGAAATCTCATGGCCATGAAGTCACCAGAAATAGAATGGAATGGAATGGAATGGAATGGAATGGAATGGAATGGAATAGAATAGAATAGAATAGAATAGAATAGAATAGAATAGAATTCTTTATTGGCCAGGTGTGATTGGACACACAAGGAATTTGTCCTTGGTGCATATGCTCTCATGTACATAAAAAATAAAATATATTCATCAAGAATCATAAGATGCAACATTTAGTGATAGTCATGGGATACTAATAAGCAATCAAATCATACTAGGAAACAATCAAAACAATATAGGTTGTAACGATATAAGCAACATGGATATAGCCATAAGTGGGAAGAGATAGGTACTAGTAAGGATGAGAAGAAGAATAGTAATACAGTCTTTATAGTTAATTAGTGTTGTGGGAATTAGTTGTTTAGCAGAGTGATGGCATTCGGGAAAAAACAATCCTTGTGACTTGTTCTTCTGATGTGAAGGAGACTTTGCTTATAATTGCAGTTGGCTGTGACAAAAGGTCATTTTTGCTACCTGGCCAGACTTGATAGTACTATATTGAGCCAGCCAAGAGGCTCCTCTTTGTTTCCACCTACTGTATGTGCTTGTCTTTATGCCTGGGACCAATTAAGAGTAGTTCATCTGGATGGGAGACTTTGTGCAGGGAGGAGGTATTGCCAAGAGCATTTTTTGGCCTCCCATTTATTGATGAAGTCCTATCACCTACCCGGAAATCTTACTTTGTCAAAATGGTGGATGCTTTAACTAGCACAGTATAAGCAAATTCCCATTTCTGCATCAATATCCATTGTTTTTTATCCCTGTAATTTCAGATAGAAAAACTGGCTTCCAAAAAACCAATAGAAAACTCGAAGTTTTCTGAAGGTAAGTGGGGAATTTTAAGGAAGAAAGAGTTTAAAATGTGTCAAAGATGCTTTTTTACTTTATTACAAAACTACTTTTGCAGGAAAAAAAAACCCACACCCTTGTTTAGAAATATGTGCAGTTTATTGTAATCGGAAGGTTGACACTTATATCCTCTCACATTTTTGTTCTAGTGAAAACTTCAGAACAAAATGTTCAACCCAAATCAAGCACGTCATCCATGCATGGTAGGTTTCTGTAATGGACAAGGAAATCCTTAGGTATTATCCTGTAGGATAATAATAAGTAACAACTAAATTTAATTAATGGAACAATATTTTTTTAATTAAGCTCTCCTGAAATATGTTGGAAAGATCAGTCATTGTATTCATTGACATAAACGTAACTTGCTGACATTTTCTTTCTGTAAAATAATTGTTTCTATTTAAAATCAAAATTGAAGGACTTTTAACTAAGAACATAAAACTTTCTTGTAATCGAATTAATTTGTGGCTGGCTCAATAGATTTTGGAATTGAAGCAGAAAATCAACCTGTGCTCCCAGCCGTAAGACTATTATCAAAAGAGCATCCAGAATCTGCTGTCCAAGGTTAGTTTATATTTATCTGGAGTAAGCACCTTGAATAAAGTTTATAATAAGAGGACCTTTAAAAAAACGCCTAATTGAAATGGGTTTTATCTCAAGAGGTCTCAACATTTGCAAGAGAGGAGAGATGGATAGGAGAGAGAGGGAGTGCAGCGTGGTGCTCCCAGGGACTACTATGCCTGCAAAACCTTTACCCACATTTTGCAAAAGGCTCTGGGTGGATCTGGAGATTTATTTCATTTGTAACATTTTAATTGCTTTTCTGGTTGGCCAGGAGCACTTCAAGGAGAAACAAGTGTGTTTGGAAAGGGGTGATTCTCAAAGAGAAAATGAAGAAGGTGGGAAGGGAGTGAAACGAGTGGGTTTACTGGTAAGAGAAAAGGGAGACTATATTCAGAAAAAAAGTCTGGAAATAAACAGATTTGTATTTTTAAGGCCCAGCCCCACCTCTGAGTCATATTCAGGAACAGAGCAAGTTATATATCTTTTTGCCTCAATTGTTTGCATGCTATAAAATGGTTTTTTGCTGGAATAGAAAATATGGACTGCTGGTTGGTTCAATGGACTGGTTTTTATTGTAGATTCAGGGTACAAAATGCATTTCTGCATTTATTTATAAAATGGGTTTTGTATATTTTGGGTACAAATTGCATTTCTGCATTCATAAAAATGGTTTTTGCTAGAGTAGAAAATACGTTGGTTCAATGAACTGGCTTTACTGTATATTCAGGATACAAACTGCATTTCTACTTGGTACTTTGTAGATGAGTTGCTTGTATTTCAGCCTTGCCAGTTGGCCTTTTGCCTTTCTATGTTAATTTGTCACAGGCATTTTTATGTGGAACCAGAGACAATCCCAGTTTATGGAATTGCCATATGGACAATTCCAATTTTAGACCATTTATGTTGATCTAGAAACAAAATGCCCAGTGTGTCAATATAAATTACAGCATGGTAAGATAGGATCTCTCTAGCATCCCATACAAAAGTTCATGATTATAGAAGCATATTCTCCTTCAGCACCAGGAATTGTATCACATGATAGCTGCCAGTTCAAAAAATTGGATTGTTTGGATCGGAAGTTTTAAGATGTGGGGAATCTTTATCTGTCATTGTGTGTAGCTGCTCAATTTGTAGAAGTATCAGTGTTATTATTTTTTTAAAATAAATATAGATCATTACTTGTAGTAGCAGATTCTGTTTCTTGAGGCTACCTTTAAATAGCAATTTATCCTGTGCTGTTTTTAAACATACAAAAATGTCTAAATGATATCAGTATTTAAAGTTCTCAGCATTTAGCATTCCTTCTTCAGTTTGGACATATTTGGGTTTTGATCTTTGTTATTTTATTGGTGATTGCCTATTTAAATAGCAGAAAGCCTTTCTACTTCTGTATGCCTCTCTTCCTGCACCTTCACATTCATCCTGCCTTTTACAGTTATTGCTTTAAAATCAGATCTGTATGAACATAGGTATCCATGACAAACTAAGTGACAAATGAAGAAACTTAATTTGCAAGTGGCAACTACGCTTTCCTACTTGTGACTTGACACCAGGTGCAAATAAGAAGTTACCAGATTTGTATTGTGCCAATGCATTATTACTCCCAACTCCCCAACATGATCATGTGTGAGTCTAGTATGGTTGCATTTTTACTCTCTAGTAGAATGATACTATTAAAGGAATGATTGTTTGGGGGAAAGATTATTTAACATGATTGCCTGAGCTGTATGGGGCTGTCCCAGCATATAGGTGATCGTCATATACCTGTAGTAAAACTGAACACTTCCTGTATGCAAACTTGAAGGAGAATGGCAAGCTGAGAGTATTTCTTGATGACATTTTATTACAATCAGTAACAAAGTTGGCAAAGATTAGATTTATAATGACTGTATCTCTCCCCAGAAAAGTTGGAATATTAAGATGGGAGATGCAAAAAAAAAAAAAGCTGAGGTGTTCCAAATAGAGGATTGAATGGTTTTTTTATGGTGAGCATCACTGCCATAATCATTGGAACTTTGGTTGTACCGTAGAACAGGGAAACAGCTTAGGTAGAGGGCGCAAGTTCGCTTAACTATTCTTACTTGCAAACTAGTATCCACTTGGCTTCTTGGTTTATATTTAAGACAGAAAACTGAAGAGGAAAATCTTAAGTGTTCAATGGTCACTTACATTTATCTAAATGTAAACAAGAACCAGTTGTAAAGATCGATGCTAAATGCCTAGGACAGCATGTTATTCTGTGATGCAGTTCTCATAGTACAGTCCATTAAAGCTTTTCTAAATTGGATGGTTACTTTAGCCCAGGCTTGTCCAACCCGCGGCCCACGGGCCGCATGCGGCCCAGGTCGCCTCGTAATGCGGCCCAACGCCCACCCCAACCTTCATGAAAGATCCAGCGAGGAGGAGGAGGAGAGGCAGGCGCAAGGCGGGGTGAGGCGAGCAACAGAAAAGGCGGGCAGCCGCAGCCCAAAAGTCCCGC